ATTAGCATCGAATAGCCTTCCAGCTCCAAGGCTTGGCTGCTTCCTGCCTGGGGGAATGGAGATAACATGAAACATGGCCATACAGCCTGGACAACTCATAGCAACCCATTTCTTAGTCACCCTTCAGTTTTGTCATGGGCATTGTCTCACTTACCTCCAAATGCATATACATAGGATTTGGAAGGTTCTATTTCTAGGATAGTACTCTAAGAACTACAGCCTGGATTTGCCTATGAAGGGCATTGGTTTTCAGGTGGAAGGTGGTCAGGGTTGGCTTGACGCGCCTTCCTCTTGGCACATTTCTCTCTTTTGCCCTCCATTTGTGCCTTTTTGGATACTACAGCACTGCTGGTCACAGCTGACCTCCAGCTGGAGCACTCAAGGGCCATGGCTTCCCAGTTCTGAGTGTCTTTGCCAGAGTTTTTAAGATTGGCTTTGAGACCATCTTTAAATCTCTTTCCTGCCCACCAACATTGCACTTTTCATTCTTAAGTTCGGGTTAAAGCAACTGCTTTGGGAGATGGTAGTCGGGCATCCGGACAACATGGCCGGTCCAGCAGAATTGATGGCGGAGGACCATTGCTTCAATGCTGGTGGTCTTTGCTTCTTCCAGCATGCTGACATTTGTCTGCTTGCCTTCCCAAGAGATTTGCAGGATTTTTCGAAGGCAGTGCTGATGGAATTGTTCCAGGAGTTGCATGTGACGTCTGTAGACAGTCCACGTCTCACAGGCATATGCCAGGGTTGGGAGGACAATAGCTCTATAAACAAGCACCTTGGTATCTCTATGGATGTCCCAGTCCTCAAACACTCTCTGCTTCATTCAGAGAAATGCTGCACTCACAGAGCTCAGCGACACCTGAGGCACTCAAAGTGGCCAGGTTCTGGTCAAAGGAAATTTAGCATAATGCCAAGTTTTTAATCTTGATGTGGTTTTTAAAATACATTATAACCTCTGTTTTGGAGTTGAAAATGGTTTCCTTTTCTATAGGTTGAATGGGAAGAAATCCTGTATTTTGCAGTGTTGGCATTTCATAAAGGCAGAAATGTGTGCATCAAGTAATTTATGAATTTGATGTTTAGATAGAACACAAATGTATAAATAGCTCCTTCCTTCCTGACACATTCACACCTAGCTCCGACAGACAAGAGTTCTTTGCCCCACCCTGGTCATTCCACAGATATATAAACTCACTTTCCTAGTTCCAATAGACCTCACTAGCTCTGAGGATGCTTGCCATAGATGCAGTCGAAACGTCAGGAGAAAATGCCTCTAGAACATGGCCATATAGCCCGAAAAAACCTACAACAACCCTCCCTGGGTAATTCTCAAAGCTCGATATGCTTGTCTGTCTTAAGATGAAAAGCATATGTCTGTGTTTTAGATGGATTAGGAATCAGCTGGTTTCCCCTGTAATACGAAGTAACAGTACCTAAAACTTCGGAGAGCTTCTGTTCGACCATTTCAAATCTCCCTGCTTGGGCAGTGATGGCACGATCGTCAGCATAGATTAAACTCTCTGTCCCTCCTGGCAGTGGCTGATCATTTGTGTAAATGTTGAACACTGATGGAGCAATGATGATGATGATATAGGCAGTAAGAGCACCAAAAGTTTGAAGAGTTTCTGTTCAACCATCTCAAAGCTCCCTGCTTGGGTGGTGATGGCACGATCGTCAACATAGATGAAACTCTCTGTCCCTTTTGGCAGTGGCTGATCATTTGTGTAAATGTTGAACACTGATGGAGGAATAATGATGATGATATGGGCAGTAAGAGCACCAAAGCTTTGGAGAGCTTCTGTTCAACCATCTCAAAGCTCCCTGCTTGGGCAGTGATGGCACGATTGTCAGCATAGATGAAACTCTCTGTCCCTTCT